ATTCACACTGACACTCACTTTGCTCTACACTCCATTATGCAACATACACCTTTTTTAAATACACACAAAGCAAACACATGAACAACAAAGACTTGAAATCATAGAACAATGACCTTTTTTTTTCTTTTTTTTTTCATGAAGACATGGACTACTGAACAAAATTATCGGCATTGCACTTTGTGATGGCCACTCAGATATAATTCATGCTACACAGGAATTAGGGGAATGTTGTGGCCATTTTTGTTGAATGTTTATAAAACGCAATTTGTATTTTTTGTTTTTTCTTTAAAGTTGTAAGAATATGCTGACCTAGTTTGTTATGTAAATTTGTAATTCATTTTATTGGAAAAGGTTTTTGGAAAGTGATTGGTTTATTGGCTCATGGACCCTCCCATTAATCAGGGGATTAAGAGCACCTGGAGGGGTGTGGTGAGGATGGTTTTTGTTTGCCAAATGTGTGATGGGACGACGGGAGGGTTGGAAAATGATTTTTTTTTTTTGTTTTTTGGACCACTTTTGAAGTTGTTAAAGCAAATTGAATTTACTTTCGTTTAATTTTAAGTTGTAAGAAGTTATTTGGTTGATTTTTGTTTATAATTTTGCACGAAATAAACAACATGATTTTTAAACCATGGAGTCAGAAGTGCGTTCTAAAACAAACCTCCCGTTGCCACCCACGGCCTTTTCTGGGACTTTTGGTGTTTGGAACATAAAAGGCCGTGACATTAACCAATCAGCTGGAGTCTGATCTGTAGTTTCCTGTTAGCATGTAAAGCTGAGACTGAACAGTATAATCTACTTTACAGACGCTGACTTTGTTCTGATAAGCTGCCAACCACAGTCAAAGAGACGTGTGGGCACTGAGACGAGGATCTTACATGTTTGCAAGACTTCTTGCAGGAGCTCGAAGTATCAGGTACTATATAGTATCAGCTGTATATACCTGTAGTACTGTATATACAGTATTTTACATGCAGAGCACCTCGAAGCGTCCTTAGATATTAATTTAAAACAGTCTCGTACAGACTGGTTTTTATTTTGATCATAAACAGCTTCAAACATCACAGATGGAAACAGGCTGGTGTCCTGCACGTGCTCCAGGGATGACTGGA